TTTTTTCTCAGCTCTTTATAACAGAGGTTGGGGAACAGAGGCATAAGTACAGGTCTATGCCCTGGGCAGTGGCAGGGGCAGGGCTGGCTGTGACAGTGGTGGCAGGTGGGCTAGAGGCAGTGGCAGTGTTCTTAGTCCCCTCCAAGTGGACGCCCAGGCCTGATGTTCCAGTTGCCCATCCTTTGTTACACTACTGCTGGAGAACAGTACTTATACTGTATATATTTCAAGATAAAATAACTAGAGCCCTTTTTCTGCAAGGTAATGGCCCTCAATCTATGTACCTTTTCAGATTATATAAATCAGTTTCAAATCTAATAAGAGATACTAGAATGTTTAACATACAGTGTCTAATATATATAATTTAGCCCTGTGAAATAACTGAGTGTTAATTTCATCCTTTGCTTCCTGTGTTAAGCCTCAAAACTAGTATTTCACTGGATAGGATAACACAATATTTTTTTTTATTGCTAACACTCAAAACACTTGTAACTCAGCTTACTAATGGTGTATCTATTTTTTTTTTTTTTGTCTGTGCGTGCATTAGAGTTACCTAAAAAGTCAGACTCCTTTAAAGACAAAAAAAGAAAGAAAGACGAAGCAGCCAAAGGAAAAGATGCAGCAAATAAACCAGGTTAAATACACGTTTGCATTTTTTACTGCTTTAGGAATTAACCTAAGAGAGTATTTAGTGTCTGTAGTTATCTTCAACTCCTCTCTTTAAAAATAGCATTAGTAACTGTTAATTAATTGGAAGAACACGCTGAAACAAAGAAAATTTAGAGTAATTTTTCAGTGAAGGGAGTCTGCATGCCATTTGATGATGGAGTCTTCTAATTTTCATACCTAACAAATATTTTTGTGTTTCCAAGAGACACCCTGTCAGATTTATGTGATTGAATTTTGGGGTGAAATGGCAAGCTTTTCACTGACTTAAATGGAGTCAGGATTTTCCATTAGAAGTACTGCAGAAACAGAACACTCATGTCCTATGAGGAAATAATATGTTGGGTCAGTCATCAGCAGCAACTCCAGGTTTATATTAGTGGATTCTCAATGGAGTCCAATCCAGTTTTCTATGCTCGGAGGGATAATGTTGGCAAAGAAGAGGGATGAATGTTCAACAGGAGACCACTGACTACTCATTAGGCCACTGATATGGACATACTAGGGAAAAATAAAAGATTGATACTCAGAATGCTTAGCACAGGTATTCTAAGGTATAAATCAGAATGCTTTATTTGACCATCAACTTATCTGTTTTCTGCCCCGCAAAATCAACACTGTTAAAAGCAACTGTTCCTTTGGACAGCGGGCAAGACACTGTTTTTGAAAAGCACAGAGTTATGATAGCTACAGAAGTGAATCAAGATGCATCTTCACTAAAAATGTTAAATGACTTTCAACAAAAAGGGACTGTTAAATAAGCTCCTTCAGGTGTTAGTGTATCTTCTGTATCTTCTCTCTTAATGTGTTTAAATCTAGATGTACATAATACCTTCCCATTATATTTTCTAATGAATCTGTCCAGCATTTTTGCCCTACCTCCTATTCCTTTCTGACTCTTTATGTATGTATATTTATTTATTAACTTTCAGTTTAATTTAAAGTAAAATTAAAGTCAAATGCAAAAGAAACCTGATATAAATGGAATGCAACTGACTTTGTCTGTCTTGGTTTAAGCTGGGTTTTCCAACTTCTGGGTGAGGTGGTGTGGGGCTGCATGTTCTGCAGGCCCCAGACCCATAGTTTGCACACCCTGTGGCAACCCTCCTGGGGGTTTTCTTCCATTGTACAGACAGCTCATTCCCCTTCACCCCGTTGCTGCAGTCAGCCCAGCTCTGCTCCAGGTCATTGCAGCCCAAGGAGCCCAGCTCCTCTCCCTCTGGCTGTACACAGAGCATGGGTAGGTAGCACAGTCCCCTCCCTGACCTCCATTCCACTGCCCCAGCCTGCACCCAGAAGCAGGTTAGGAAGCAGGAGCCAGAAGACAGTGGGGAAGCCCACAGCCCTCAGCTGCCATAGCAGCAGGGGTTATACAGGGAGTGGTGGCCAGGTGGGAGCACACAACCCACATATTAACCTTCCATGGCCACATATGGTTTGCAGGCTACCAGTTGGACAGCTCTGGGATAAAGAAAGATGCATCTGAACAATAAAATGCTTAGCCTGCAAAGTTCATTTGAAGGCAATCAAGCAATGCAAGTCTATTAATTCTTTTTATGTAAAATATGTACAGCATACTAATTGTTCATTCTTATTTAAGGCTCTGCTCGAGGAAAATCATCTGAAGATCTACCCCCTTCAACTGCAGTTGGACCACCACCAACTAAACCAGGCTCAGATAAATGGGTTTATATAGATGAACCGCTTCCAAAGGTGCAGGAATTCAAGATTATTTTAAAATTTTCTTCTCAATTTTACAGTGAATTTCCTATGCACTTTTTGTCGTAATACAAAATCATTTGTTTTTAAAGACTTTTTTCAATAAGTAAAGAGTGAAGGAGAAGTTGTTGCATGCATTTTATATTATATTTATTTGCTTTATATGCTGCCCTCACCAAAAAAGGCTCTGGGCACCTTGCAAAAAAAAAAAAAAGATAAATTAAAAAAACAGATAAAATATTGAAATATAATAGTGAGTAAGAAAATGGCTCCCCAGATAATACCTGAGAAGTTAACTGTGCCTGCTAAACACCTGCCCAAATAAGGCAGTGATTCCAGATAGGGCAGTCTTACAGTGCTTCCAAAAGATGGGCCTCAAGGGGTAAAGAGTTCCAAAGCTGACAAGTGACTACTGAGAATAATTTCCCACGTATTTTTGCTGCTCACACTTGGCACACAGATGGAACTTGCAAGAGGTTGCTCCCAGCTAACTTAAAGAAACATAAGGAAGGAAATAATCCTGTAGGGCGCAGTTGAGGGGCGGCTCCCCACAGTAACTGAGAATGCTTTGCAGGAAGCATTCTGAGTTGCAACAATTGCCCATTGCAAACAGAAGTTCACCGTTGGTTCCAGGGAAGAAGGGAATCTAGCTGCTGGCTGGGAGCCTGCAGCCAGGTTCCCATATCATTGGCCCCTCCTATCTGGGAGGCTGCAAAGTTTTCAGAATGGGAGGCAGGAAAAGGAGCAGAGGGAGCTCATTCTAGGGGTTCCCCGACTGGCACTGGAGGGTGAGGTGTATGAATTGGAGCCTTCCCACCTCAGTGGACTCCAATACACCTGTCCCAGCCTCCAGTGGGGGCTGAAAACCCCCAGACCAAACTCCTTCTGCTCCCCTTCCCCACTCCCATTCTGAGAACAGCGACAGGCTGGCAGGCAATGCAGACAGAAATTACAGAAGATGCTGTGTTTTTAAAAGTCTTCATCTGACCCCTCATGTAATGAGGGTTCAGAATTTCACCTGATCAGTCATTCTTGAAGCACTCTGCAGCCGTGCACTTGTGTTTGGTCATGGCTGTAGCTTGCTTTCTGTTGCCAGATCTGGCAAAAATTGTCACTTTTGTCTGTGCCCTTAGTTAGGCAGGGGCCAGGACAGTTAGGCCAGTTTTGTATAAGGCCAGTTACATGAAAACCAGCATGTTGAATCGTGCCTGCAAAGCTATTGGAAGCTAGTGCAGATTGTAGAGAGATGGAGTAATGTGTTGGCAATGATCCATCCCCATCAGAAGGTGGTCTGCCACATTCTGCACCAGTCTTCCGGACAGTCTACAAGGGTACCCCCCTGCAATAAAAGACTATATTAAGACTTTTAAGATAAATTCCTTAGAGCAGTGCTTCTCAGCTTTGTTATACTCAAGGGACTCATCATTAGAGTCAAGGCACCCTGTGGAAAATGCCACTCTTAGCTTTGACTTGGTTTTTGACTATAGAAAAATAATAGAACAATTCTGCTTTTGCAAAGAACTCAGAAAAGCTGCAACAGGTCAGAATGTTTCTAACACTATAGACTCCTGTTTGAAATGTCTGGGTTTATCTTGTGAATCATGTTCATTCCCAACTGTGCTAATGCTGTGTGGCTTGCCACAGCAATCTTTAAAGGAGCTCAAGGCACTGCAGGGCCCCATCACACTCTGGTTGAGAATCACTGCTTTAAGAATCAGGGTGAACAGTAGCATATGGGTCACAAGATGTTACTACTTTTTATTATGAAAGACATACAGATAGTAAACAAACTTTGGTAGGATATTTGTCATTTGTTATCAAGAATGTAAAAGAAACGTATTTCAAATAGTCTATTATCCAGATATAACTTCTTTTTTTTATATGCTGGTGATTATATTTTGCAGGTCAGTAGAAAGTGTATGAAGTAATGAATTGTTTATTTCAATAATTAACAGGAAATACCTGAATTTTTAGTGCCTTATTGGGAGATGGTAGAAAACAACTATGTAAATACCATCAAAACTATACTTAGACATCTGAGAGATGAACGGCATTCTCTTATTTATTACTTAGCAGATATTAGGTGAGTACTACTAGCTTAATGCATTAGAATTTACATTTCATATATTCCCTTTGCCAGTCAAGGTAAATTTTAACATTAAAACTCTCTAAACTCACTGTTCATAGAAACAATTTCCTGAATTATTTGAAACGTCCAGATCATAAGCAAGAGTTTGTATCTCAGTGGCAAGCTGATTTTAACTCCACTGCTGATGACCTGTGGGAGGATGAGGAAACAAAAGCAGAATTACACCAAAGAGTCACTGTAAGTAAAATGGCAAATGTTACAGTCTAATGAGTTGTGAAGCTTCAATGATTTGAACTCTCAGAAAATTATTATTGTAGGACTTCTAATATCTTAATTATTTTATCAGTTTCTGGCGTTATTTCAGTTTTACCTTTATACTATTTTTCTATTATATCTGTATTTCTGTCAGTTTTTTACCACTATATGTTTTTGTTCCCTTTTATTTGTGTGATACTGTTCTAGTCACCTTCTCTCCCTTTCCTCATATTCCAGCATGCATTCAGCTATTTTTTTTCTTAGATGGACTATAAAAAGGTACTCAGCCCCTAAAGGGCTAGGAACCTAGCTGCAGGTGGTCAACAGAATAGCCTTTCTGGATGGGAGGTTGGGGACCATCTGGAACTGATGAGCAGTGGAAAGTAAAACCACAAAAGTATAAGAACTCTAGGATGGGAATGCAGAAAAGGTTAGATTGATGTGCTAGGGAGAAGCCCAGAGCTAAAATTGCCCCTCTCCTGACGTTTGGATAGGATAAAGTTTGTTTGTTTCATATGCTGTGGGTTCAAGTTCATTTCTATAAAACATGGACTTGATTTGCCTGTAATTCTGAGATGATAGCATCTACTCGGGGTGTGCAAAGCAGGCTGTATTTGATTTGGATTCAGCCTGATTTGGGGGACAGTGATTTGATTCACTGATTCCAATCGCTGTCCCAATTCAATTTGGCTGAATCTGAAGATTCTATTCTGATTTGGAGAATCAGCGATTCGGACATAGACACAGCTTTATATGTTTTTTCTACGTACCTCAAGGTACCAGGCACAGTTCATGAACACTGAGATGGTGGGGCAGATGGAGCATCCCACGGGAATGTGGGAGTGGGTCTGCCACTAAGCTCATGGGGGACCCCCCCCCTACATCGCCCTGGCTTGGCAATCGGCTACAGGGGGACCCCCACATGCCCCCCTAGACCCAGGAGGCACCAGTCACTTTGCTGGGGGGCGGAAAGGTCTCTCGCGGGCTCGGTGGCGGACCCAGGAGTGGATCAGAAGTACTTCCAGTCCACTTCCAGGTCCACCACCAAGCGCGTGGGGGACACTCGCCCCACGCTTTCATGGGACGCTCCATCTGCCCCACCATCTCAGCATTCATGACCCGCGCCTGTTACCTCAAGGTACGTAGAAAAAACATAAAAGCTGTGTCTATGGCCAAATCACAGAATCTCTCTGAACTAAATCAGAGGCTTCTGATTTGATTCAGAGAGATTAACAGGTCTCCTGATTCGATTCAGATTCGGAGAATCAGCCGCCGAATCAGGCCAAGTCTTCTCCAGATCGAATCAGCCACCAGAGCTTCTCACAGCCCTAGCATCTACAAAGTATGGGAGTGATTCTGTGAAATTTTGTATCACTAGGGATCCTGTGAATCCTGGCTGGAGGTGGCATACATGCATTTCTGATCCCTGACTCTTCTGCTCCCTACATACTATAATTTCAAACTCCTCTCCACTTCCTTTCCTTGCTTAACTGTTGTGCTCTTGGAAACACCATCTCCTTTCAAGTGAAATAGTATCCCAACAGGAGCTGGCCAAGTTTAAACATAGATAAATGCCTCTGAGAAATGTAATAAAGAGCTATAAGCAGGCCAGCCTCCTACTTAAAAGCAAATAGCAGCAAAATTGCTACTGCTTGCTGCTATTGGATGGTGCATATTTGAGTGATTTTGGCTGAAATCATTGCAGGAAATGTTATTATTGAAGTCCAGATGGACAAAGCAAAAACAGAGATTGAGGTGCTACAAAATCCCACAATGAGGAGAACTGTTTTTGAAGGGAACACTGGTGGAATCATGGTTGTACACACTGGGCGCACCCAGACGAGCACAGACATTTGGTTTCCTGGGGACAACTAGCAGCAGGACACCTTGTGCCACTGCTAGTTGTTCCTGGGGAATGCCTGTGTCATGTGCCTTCTGGCACATGGCAGGTTATCCTGGCTGGGTTAAGGGAGGCTGGGGCCAGCACAGTTGCTGGTCCCAGCAGTCTTACGTAGGGTGCTGGGGGTCAGGGAAGTTGCAGCTGTGTCATTCCTGCAACTTGGAGCATGGCCAGCAGCCAGAATGTGGCTCTGACTGGCCAGGCTGTTTTTTGGTGGTGCATGCTGTCTCCGCATGCACTGCCCCGCTTTTTCTGTGTGGGTTTTTTTGACCCCTGGATTTCCAGGGGTCAGTATCCCCCTCCCCTCCACACTGCAAGGTAGCAGCACAGGAAATGCCTGAATGTATGGTATGTGGCACCACAGACAGGTCTGTGGCACCATGTACCCGCATGGCCATGCTTGTTTGGATGCAGCCACTGACATGATAAAGTTACATGGAACCTCTTATCCGACAGTATTACTGTTATGATACATATTAGAAAATCCTACTCACTGGCCCCTTGGGTGTCTGTCATTTTAGGAAATTGATACTAAATATTTTCTAGAAAGAATCTACCACAAAAGAATTGGTTCACCTCAGTTGGGAGGCAAAATGGCAGAGGTTTTTTTTTTTTAATTAAAGTGGACACACAGAAAAGTGACACAGGCACCATAATATGGTTAAATGCAGAGATAGATGAACCTTACTTGTTCAGCTTGGAGTACACACCTATATATGCAGGGTGCTCTGGGACAGTTATAAATGTGCAGTGCTGGCCCAGTAGGTTTTAAACCTGTGGATGAAAATTTGAAGGCTATGCTGATTCTTCTATACCTTCAGGCTCCTAGAGTAACAGACTGGAAGACAGTCCCAACCTTCCTTCATCCAGGAGATATAAGAGAAGATAAGAGGATACATAGATAAAGAACATACTCCTACACATGTATTTCAGTACATAACAACAAAAGAGCATGGCCACGTAGAACACTTCCCAAGTGAGATCTCATCCTAGCTGCATCCTCAGAAGATGTCTCCACTATGCCTCTTCAGATCAAATCAGTGACCCAGCTACTGGAATGAACACTTCATTAATTATGAAACCATCTAGAAAAAAGTGTGATCTTATGTCCCAAAATGCCCACAGTGTGCTTTATCCAGAACAACAGCATGTAACCAATTAAAAACAGTTTCAATAGATGGAAATCAAGTCCAGTCAGTCAAGTACTGTATTTCCTGTCTCTAACAAATGTAAAACCATATAAAGAATAAAAGGGATTTGAAGTATACAAGTCCAGGAGATACTAAAATTCATGATACTTGATATTGAAGAATTATCTACATTAAATATAAAAGGACTATAACTGTGAAAGTTAAAAGATCTGCAGACTATCAAATAGCTTTTTGATTTTTTTCCTAACGAATATTACCTTACTAGGTGGTCTTCTAAGCCATAGTGATTAAGAATGTAAGGCTTTGATCATTTAAGCTGAGAACTGCTGATATTCCCTCCTTTGTTTTAAACTCACTCTACTATTAGAGTTTGCAGAGTAGTGATGCAACTGTGCATCCACTGTGCTCTCTTGGGCAGATTCTTCTGCCAGGGCACCAATATCATTTCTAATAACAAATCTCTAAAGGGTTCCTAAGCCCTCACACATCAGTTACTTGTAACTGTATTTGCATTTGTATTATAGGACCTAAGAGACCGTCTCTGGGACATTTGTGATAACAGACGGGAAGAAGCTGAGCAAGAACGTGCTGATTTCATGAATGATGGGTGGTTACCAGATCATACGGGAATAGTGATGAACCATTTCTTATCACTTATGCAGGTATGATTTAGCCAGTAGGGTCCTGGTTCTGCAGTAGATCATGTTCTACTGAGTCTTCACTTGTGTGGACATATATGACTGCAGGATCAGATCCAATATTACCAAATGACTTTTTCATCTTCCTCCTATAAGTGCATACAATTGAGCATTAATAGAATAAAAATAAGTAAAAGTAATAACACTGTATCACCTTGCAGACAAAGGTGATAAAGAAAAATACTAGTGCAAAGGCCAAATGTGCTGTTTTCTCATATAAAATAATTCTAGCAACCTTTTTTGAGAAGTTCTAATGCTCCCATACTTTGAAGAAGAAACTTGAAATTTAGGAGTGACCAGTCTTTGTTTCAGCTAGTCGCCTTTTGCTGTTTCTGAGAAAACCTGCTTAAGTTTGGCCAAGGTATAAACCTTGGAAAAATACCAGTTCACAAAGGCTCAGTGGAGAAACCTGAGAAATTAGCTACTATACTATCTACTCAGTTTATAAAAATAGATATTACCCTTCTGTGTCTTTTAGGAGATCTTTGTATCATATTTAAAAAGTATATAATCAAAATAATACTTTCCACAGATACAGGACCAATGGTGCTGCACATTAAGACCATCCTTTTTTTCATAAACATAACTCTCTAGCACCTCAAATCATGTGTCTGCCTGTGTGTCTGGGTGCTGAGCAGAAAGATGTCTACAAGTAGCTAATAGGAAATGTGAGACATTTGAGAGAGAGAGGAATGAGAAGCACAATCAGAACTCCTCATAATTTAGGTGTCAAACTTGGGACTGAACCCCATCATGTTAGGTGGTGGAGCTGCCCATCTGTTGCCCAATAGTCTAGTAGCTAGACCACTCACCTGGGAGCCTGTACACGTGTGCAGAGGCTGCTCCAATACGCTAGAATTCCAGCGTGTCAGAGCAGACTTGATTAATCTGTTGGAGCGTGGCAATTGCCATGCTTCAGCAACCTCCTGTGTCTTGTGTATCAGAGTCACCATGCTTAAAAATGGTGTTGGGGGTGCTTTTTCTAAAGCTTGTCAGATGAGCGTTAGTTCAAGCACCCCTGCCACCATTTTTAAGTGCAGGGGCACTGATACACAAGATGCAGTGGTGATTTAATTAGTGTGACTCTCAAAGCCGCTCTAATTAAAGGGTGATCCCCCTACCCCCAGAGCACATGTAAAAGTGCCCCTGGGTTCTAAGCCCTCTACAAGTGTAAGGGGTTCAACCCCACATCTCTCACTACTCTAGAGCTATCCCTAATTTACCAGAGTACAGGCTAATCTTAGGGGGTCTTTCTCACCCTGCTCTACCATTTCTATTTAAGCTGCATCACTGGACAGCTAAGATTAATTGGGCTAAAGGAGAAAAAACAAACAGAAGCTTTCCTTGGTAGCTCAGGGAGGAGGAAATCTGAAGTCTGCTCCCTGCTGCCAGGAAAGATTTCCCCATTGTGGGCAAAAAAATCAGCCCGGTGAGTTATATAGTCATGCTGCCTTTTGCTTGTTTTTCTTTTGAGCCTAAGGATTTTACACACTTTGCTACCCAGGAACTTAACTTTAAATGAGAGGGGTAGAGGGGTTCTCAACAAGACTAGCCTATAGACTTGTGGTTAGGCCACTTTTTTGGGAGGTGATAAGTCTTCTCATGTGTTTAAGTCTCCTCAAGAGAGTTTATGACCCAGGTCTCTTCCATCCTCGTGAGAACTCTTATCACTAGGCTACTGGACAAAAGGTGGGCACAGGTTCAACTACTATTTTTGAGTTTCATTTGATGCTGTCAAATGAAATTAGACATGCTGTGGGCACATCTAACAGATCAGGTCCTTCCAGAGATGTAGGTGAAGATTAGGTGCCTCCCAACAACAGTGTGAGTGACCACTAAGATCAAGGTGTCATCCCTTAATAATCACCATTGCTACCCTCAATGACATGGTCATTGGTTTCTTCTAAAACTAACTATAAACATCTTTTTTCTTTTCTCTCTGGGTCTGGAGGACCTGATTCAAAGCCTTTGGAATCAATGGAGATACAAACTTGATTTAGGATCAGGTCTTTAACATTTTTTCCAGGGTATTCTGCAAATTCACTGTCATCCACATTTCAGGTGCTTCTTAATGACCCCTTCTACCTCGACATCTACAAAAAACAAGCAGGGGGAAAAAAAGAAAAGAAACAAAAATTAGATCTGTTGTCTTGACTGACTTTTGCAGAATAACAATGTATTATAATTTCCATAACACACATTCCTCTTCTGTTAAATCCTCTTTCTATTAAGTTGTACCCCTATAACTTGTTTATGCAGTAAAAATAGGAAATAAGATACCAGTAAAATATGAATTTGAACTGCAGTGGCTCTTTCATGCTGTCTAAATTCCATTCTTAGTTCTTTCAAACTATGAAGCCATTGTGTGATTTAGCTTAGTCCTATTTTCATATGCAGCTGAGGCACTTACAAGCCTGGAACTAACTGACAGTCAGTCCAACTTAGGCTTCTAGATCACATAGGCACTTTTGAAAATTTTACCCCAGAAATGTTATCTGCAACAATTTACATTGGTAAGAATGGAGAAAACTGTTAGAGCAAAAAGTGGCAGGCCAACTTCACAGGATATCTTCAATACTTTGTTAGAAACAAAGAACAAAACGAGGACATAATCTCTGGTTTCAAAGCTCTCCTTATTTTAATTTCTCTGTAAGAGGTAATTCCTATAGTATGTTCCTCATGTGGCTATATGACTGTGTCAACTTGTAAATGTTTACATGTTCATTTTAGCAAGGTGTTCTATCCCTAACAAACTTACATCAGTACCTTTATACTTGTTTCTTTGTTTCTATGCTATAACTAAAGAATTTTAATCCTTAACTTTAGCCAAGTGTCTGTTTTACTCTATGAGAATTTTATCCTTTGTATTGTGAATGTGGTTTTGTGCATTTTCCCATGAATATTTAGTGCCGTTTTGTCAGTTAGAGACTAACACATTGCTGGTTTAATAAATCAAATTATGACAGGTGCTAATGCTTCTTGGCTTCACTCTGAAAAGTATAGATGTTTTGAGCCTTATCACCCCCCCTCCTGGTTTCTCATTAAACAAGTTGTACAATAAGCACATGGGCAATATTTTTTAAGGTATTTCAATATCTATTTCTATTGATCTCAGTGAAAAGTGGTCATTCATACATCTTTAACAGTCTTGCTTTTGGTCACTTAGCAGTTTTGTTTATGTTGTTATTAATGGTTTTTCATAATTTGAATTAAAGGCCCAAAACAACTTTCTAAACTTACTTTATAATTTAATTTAATTACAATTTCAAAGTGAATGGTAGCTTTTTTCAGAGAAATAAATTTGCATGTTTATCAGAAGTTGTGTACCAATTAAATTTAAATGAAATAATATTGTTTTTAAGACTTGTGTGTTAAAATTTAGAAAAATTCTAAACGCATGTTTTTTCAGTATCCTTTGAAGTATGCATTAAATATGTTGTTCTTGACCAGTGTGTAGCATGTATGACTAGCAACCATGGGTAGCCTGTCAAAGGCCCGGTCCTCTTCCAGAAGTACAAGGATAAGCTCCCTGACGGTGCCTCTCATTCCCTTGGTCCCTGGGGTTAATATATATCTTTATGTCAATCCCATGCCATGGATTCCATAGACAGCCACTTGCTGAGATTCTCAGTCTTATACAGTCTCCTAAATGCCCCCAAAGCCAACCTAGGTGTGGCTTTTAGTCTAGAGGGGGTGAGACCATGACTTCTTGGATTCCTGGCCTTTTTGGTCTCTAACTTCCCTGGTTGTACGTGGCCCACTCAGAGTGCTATTTTTAAGCTTAGCTTCAAGTGAGGGATTTTACCTCTTCAAAGATACAGGGTGCACCAAAATTGCGTGCAGTGAAGCAGGTGGCTCTTCTTAAAGCAAAAGCGACATTTTTTGGTTAATAGCAATACAGCAGGCAGAGTCCTTGGCCACAAAAACAAGACCATCCATTCTCTCTCTAGCCTCTCAGTCTCCTCTTCCCCATTTTGTCTCTGAGTCTTGTTTTTCAATACTCTTTTTGCACTGTCCTTCTGAGAAGTGTTTCCCTGGCACCAGAAAGAGCAGGGAGTCTTTTCAGAGTTCCTTTGATTTATCAAAATAGATGGATTAGCTCCTTGTTGCTACCAACTAATAGAGCACTGAGGCAGATCCCCACAACTCTAGTTCCAAACAAAGTAACCCCTTCTTTCCCAGGGTACAAATTAGTCAGGAAGCCTGAGGTATGCAATATTATTACACAAAAACATTTAAACCAGAAATATCACAATAAAACCAGAGTATCACAGCATTATAATGAAGAAACTGAGGTAGAATGAAAGATTGATGACAATAGATTTAGCATGGACTGGATGACTCTGGTGTTCTTATGTTGAACTTTAGGGTCTCTCTATACATGCAGTGGGATCTAATGTGTGATCCACAAAATTCCACCTCCTGCCATGCCACATGTGGCATGACAGAAAGCGTGATTTTCTGCATGGCAGAAAGCGTGATTGTGGGATCACACATTAGATCCCATTGTGCCTTATTGCTGGTGCAGGGGGACCTCAAGATCAGGCAAGAAGCAAGCTCCCACAGCTGAGAGCCCTGTCAGCTGTGGGGCTCCCAGCCATGGGGGTATCCCACATGCCCCTGTGGCTGGAAGATCGCAGCTGCTAGGGTCTCCCAGCCCTGGCAGTGCATAAAACCCCTGAGCCTGGGAAATGGTAGCTGCCATGATCTTCTGGTCTTGGCCATTTAGGGTCCTGAAAACTGTGTTCCTGAAAATCTCTGTGAACATTTCTTAACAATTTGCATGATTGCGACACCCAGCCAGATAACCAGGGCAAGACAGAAAACATATCTGACATTCTCCATCAAACAGTCAGCAAACAGGTTTTGAGAAACCCCCTAGGGACTTCTGAGGGCACCCCAGTGCACAAGATCAATCCATGTATCAAGAGTTGTGTGTCGATTCAATTTAAATGTAATAACTAAATATTGTTTTTAAGGCTTATATGTTAAAATGGACAAACAATTCTAAAAGTATGTTTTTTTCAGTATCCTTTGAAGTATGCATTAAATGTGTTACATATTTTCAAATATTTGTGATTGAATAGTTGCATTTGGTACCCTCCATTAAGCATTTTCATGGGCATTATTTTTATACAATATAGTCTGAGTTTAAAAAACAAGAATTACTTTGTTCTATCCTGTTTCAAATGTAAATCTGTCTTTCCCTCTAAGGTTGAAGTAGACCGTTTCCAAGATACAAAGAGACTTCTTCATGACTATTATAGGGGAATGGAAGGAAAAATCCCAACAGAGGCCAGTCAGGAGTTTACAAGAATCCCATTACTAGATATTGTGAATGTAGAGCAATCTGGAGATCAAAACAAGTCACGGAGGTAAAAACTGCAATATTTGCTATAAAAATAAAAAGTTACTTTTGTACGTATATAAATTGTTCAGATAGATTGATAAGAAACACTGTATGTTGATTATATCTGTAACTTAAATATTAAGCCACGTAATACATTTCATTTAGAACTTTTCTTTATAACTGTTTCACTTATATTGAATACACTCACTCATCTCTGCTTTTAGTTTTTTAATATTCCAAACCATGAACACCTCCCAATGCAAAAGAAACTGCCATAGAAATGTTTCCTTCTTTCCCTCAAATTGTGACTATTTCTCAACAAACCTTCAACTAATAACAATTAGAAATTAAACATTCAATTCTGGACCAGTGATAAATTTTAAATTTGACAGCCACAGCCCCTAGGTTGTGGATATCTAAACCTAAATTAAAGCAACCTTGAGAGGTCCCAGAACACAATTCAGTATTCAAGGTAAGATCATAACATCAAATATATTTTAAAATGTTGTAATACTATTTATAATAAAATATATATTCACAAACCATGTACTTCTGACCACTGGCAAAGTCCCTCCCTTTTCTATAGCTACCACAAATTTTCCAAGTAGAATCCTAGCTCCTTTATTTATTTATTTTGTACCACGTAAACATGTGCTATAAGACAAAGACAGTGAATTATTTCTTTTGTTTGTTTTTTCTGTTTTTTTAAGGATTCCTGTGATTCCTCGTAGAGCTTCTTCTCCTGAAATAAATACCACCAAACCAAAAAGCAAAGGAACTCAGTTGAAGAGCAATAAGGATGAGAATTCTTCTGAAAATGTAGCATTTAGTTTTGGCATGGATGAGAAGTTCATTATTGATACGTGGCAAACTGCAGTATTTGCCATATCAAATATGGTAAGACATGCTTTTTTAACTTGAAGGCCGTCTAGCAGTTAGATCCTGTAATGTGAATACCTTAAAGTAACTTTACTGAGTTCCTCGGGTTCTTAGCCTCCACTGGATTTAGGCTTGCTGGGGTACTGGATTAGCCTACCTTTCTCCCTGTGGTTCTTAAACCATTTGTTTCTTTATGATATTCATCCTTCTCCTCATTCCTTTTTTTTTTTTTTTTTTTTTTTTAAAAGTTTTTTTTTGCCC